GGGATTACAGGCATGACCACCGTACTTGGCCTGCATTAATTTTGATTCTTTTAAAATATTACCTTAAAATGTTATTTATCTTGATTCCTGCATTTTTGGCATTCCCTTAGATTCTAGATTCCAGGTGAAAACTCTTGCACCCGGGCAGAATTAAAGGTGTCCCCTCTTCCTCCCTCCAAAGGAACTTATAACCCCTGTCCCCACCATGGCCTGTGCAGCAGCTGCTTCAGTCATGGGTCATTCCCATCCTCTGCCTTCGGCCTGTGAGCATCTCCAGGGAAGGCAGGTAGCTCTTGCTCAGCTCAGAATCACCCCGGGGCAGCTGGACCATGACCCCGGCCAAACCCCCGAACGCTCCCCAACCCTTACCCTGGTGGTCAATGAGAAGGATGGCAGTGAAGTAGTGGGCAAGGGCCGCGTAGTGGTGGGCCTTCACGCAGGCCAGGCTGGCCCAGGAGTAGGGGATGTTCTCTTTCACTGGTGCCTGGCTCATGGCTGCGTGCAGCTGCTGGTAGACCTCTCCCACCTGAAACAGAAGGGGCACTGGGAAGGGGCAGCCTGGCACAAGGGCCCTCATAAACCCAACTGCAGAGAAAGAGCCCTTTCTTCTCCCCATGCAACGGCCCCTGCAAGGGGCCGCTCCAGAATCTGGGAGCACCTCCAAGCAACCCCTTGTTCTGTCATTGTCACAGTTAACAGGGAATCAGGCTGCCGTCATTATGCTGGTTTTTAGGCTGAGCTGCAGATAGAATCAATGATCCGTATCTGAAACACCAACACTTGCCAAGAAAACTCAAGCCAGCAGCCCTGGCCAGAGCTGGCACACTGCCCAGGTCACAGGCAGGCTCCCGTGGGAAGTCCCCGCTCCTTCCAGTGCTCCTGTGCCGGCGTCTCCTGCCCACTCCCCAGAGTCACAGGAACCAGGAAGTCTTACCTTGGCAGCCTCCTGAGCCACCTTCACCAACATGAAGAACTCATTCCGGATCCCGGGAAGGCTGATTTTCTCAAACACGCTTTCTTGGGCTTGAGCAAGCATCATTTTGACAAGCACACTCAGCATGGCAGGACTCATGTCGTAACTTGGAGTATGGGTAAATGTCTCTTTCAGGTAGTTTAAAACCCCTAAAAGTGGAAAATGTTTTGCCCATTAGTTCAGGTTCATATTTACTTCACCATGCTGCTGTAGAGAAAGACAGCAGGCTGGGTGCGGTGGCTCATGCCCGTAATCCCAACACTTTTGGAGGCCAGAGTGGGCAGATCACTTGAGGTCAGGAGTTCAAGACCAGCCTGGGCAACATGGTGACATCCCTTCTCTACAAAAAACCCAAAAATTAGCCAGGTGTGGTGGCATGTGCCTATAGTCTCAGTTCCTTGGGAGGCTGAGGCAGGAGATCACTTGAGCCCAGGAGGAGGCAGAGATTGCAGTGAGCCGCGGTCTCACCACTGCACTCCAATCTGGGTGACAAAGCAAGACTCC